CCATAACCTAATTGTCTCAGTGATACTGCCAAGAATTAGTTGTGGAGATGAAATTATGAGTAGGTCACTAGGGCTAAATGCTAGGCTTAGGTTAATATGTAAAGATGAACAGATAGGCTGGTTAGACTTGTGGTATAAGTTCAATGGGAGAAGTTTGGTTGTTTTTAATTAAGCACAAAGCAACATAATGGGCTATCTGTGCTCTACCCACCACAGGTATCAAAACCCGGTTTCTAGCATTTAATTCTGAAGACATACTGCTGTGCCACTGGGGGGATTCAATGAAAGAAATGAACTTTTTGTAATGGATGGTTTACATTTAAATAAGGTAGGGTCTGGCTTGTTTCCAAAAGCTATTAACTCAGCTGTAAGGGAAGATTTATATTAGGACTAGAAAGTGAGGGCCAGGATAAACTAAATGCCAAAAAAATAAATGTTGAGAAAAGTTTAGCATAGAAAATGAGTATAGAAGTAGTTCTAAGGATAGGCTTAATTGTTATTATTGTAATGTTAGAAGTATAAGAAATAAAATAGATGACATTATAGCACTGATAGCATTGTTTGTAGTTAAACACAAAGCTACACAAGGACTCTGTGCTCTCACCACACAGTTTCTAGCATTGTAAGTCCACAGACTGTGCCACTGGGGGTCCACTGATAGCAATGGTGGATTTTGATATAATGGGTATAACTAAAACATGGTTAAATGTAGACTAATTTGGTGACAGAAATTTCTTTGAAATACAGGTTTATAGGTTATTTATTGGTGATAGAGTATTAAAGAGAGGGAGAGAAGTGGCTTTATATGTAAAATGTAAGTTACATCCTGTTGAAGTTGAGGATATCAAATATAATAGCAAAGAGATTGAATCCATTTGGGTTTCTATTGGTGGATATAAAGGGAAAAGGCTTTTCGTAAGAAATTGTTACAGACCACCAGATGATACTGGCGAAATTAGTGAGAAATCTTACAGTGAGATTAAGATTTCAGTTGTTAATGAGGTCATAATTATGGGTGATTTTAATTTCAGGCATATAGATTGGGAAATGCTAGAGTCAAACCAAAAGGGAAAAAATGTTTTTGGAAACTGTTTTCTTCACCAATTGGTCAAAGAACCAAATAGAAAGAACACTACTTTAGATTTATTGTTAACTTCTAATATAGAAATTGTTGAGAGGGTGAAAATTGGGAAATATCTGCATGCTAGTGATCTTTGCTTTATTAGGTTTGATGCTTTTCTGTATAAGGAGGTCAGATATAATGATATTTTCATTACAAGTTTCAAAAAAACAAATTTTGAAGGGATGTGACAAGAATTATCTGTTGTGAATTGGGCAGCAGAGTTATTTGGAGACACTGATGAAATGTAGAAAATTCTAAGGATAAATTTTTAAGTATTTAAGATAAACATATCCTTATAGAAAGAAAAAGGTGGCTGAATGTAAAAACTAAGTAAGCTCACAAAGGGTATAAAAGATAAAATTAAAGAAAAGCATTACAATGTAAGAAATTTAAATTGACTGGTATATTGGAAGTTATAGAATATTATAAAAGATCAAGAACTTTGGTCAAACAGGAAATTAGGAGATCAAAACAGATGTATTAAAACAGATTGGCTGAAAATGTAAAAATTAACAGTAAGAATTTCTTTAATTGCATAAAGGGTAAACAAAATGTTGGTATTGGGGTCGGACTCTTGAGGAATGATAAAGGAAAGCTTGTATCTGATGATTACAAGATGGCTGGGTTATTAAATTTAGCTTTTTTTCTCCAGTTTTTACTAAAAAATATTTAGGCAGTATTCCTCATCTTGAAGAGTTTATAGATGGAGGTAGGGTCAGACAATATGACTGCATTCATTTTGAGCTTGTTAATAAAAAATCAGGAAGTTTAAAGTATGATAAGGCTCCTGGGTCAGATAATATTTCCTCAAGGGTTTTGAAGGAGGATAAGGATTGGATATGGAATAGTGGGCAGGTACCAGAAGATTGGAAGTTTAGCTAATGTCAGTCTTCTTTTTAAGAGAGGTAATACAAATTGCCCCAGTAATTATAGGCCTATTAGTCTTACATCAATTGTGGGAAAAGTTTTGGAAAGTCTGATAAAAGATGCTTTGCAAAATCATTTAACAAAGCTTAGAATTTTATTGGATAGTCAACATCACAGAGAAAATCTTGTCTTACAAATCTTTTGATATTCTTTGAAAAAGTTACTGCTCATGTAGATGAGGGGAAGGGTGTAGATTTGGTGTATCTGGATTTTCAGAAAGCCTTTGACAAGTGCCATGTACATAAAAAGCTTGTAAAAAGATTATTTTGGTAGGTATGGGGGATAAGTTAGCTAATTGGATAGAAGAGTGGCTGAATGGAAGAAAGCAGAGGGTTGTAAAAATGGAGTTCAGTCAAATTGGATTAATGTCACAAGTGGGGTACCTCAGGACTCAGTCTTAGAACCTTTGCTCTTTTTGATTTACATCAATGACATAGATAAAGGAATGGTCAATAAATTACTTATATTTGCAAATTATATTAAGGTTTTGGGTGTTGTTAACTATGAAGAGGATGCTGCTAATTTATAAAAGGACTTAGATCATTTAGTGAGTTAGGCATATAAATGGCAGATTGGTTCTAATTATAATAAATATAAGACAGTACACATGGGTTATCACAATTGGAATTATAAGTATAATTTGGATGGGAATAACCTTAACAGTGTAATGAATGAAAGGGATCTTGGTTTAATGGTTGATCATTCACTTCTAATGGTAGAGCAAGTAGTATTTTAGGTTGTATCTACAGAAATATTGATTGGTTAGACCACATTTGGAGTAATATGTTCAGTCTTTGGCTACTTACATTAGGAAGGACATTGAATTGTTGGAAAAGGGTTCAGAGGAGAGTTTGTCATAAGAGGAGAGATTAAGATCTTTGAAATTGTTCACTCTTGAATAAAGAAGAGTTAGAGGGGATCTTATTGAGGTGTTTAAGATTGTAAAGGAAATTGATAGTGCTGATGCATCATGTTTTTTCATACTTATCAGTGATAATAGTAGAACTAGGTGACACAAATATCAATTTTGCAAGATATGAGTCATCTTCAGCTAAGACAGTTTTATTTTTCTAACAGGATGGTTGGTTTCTGGAATGGGTTGCCTTCAGATAGTGGCGTAGCAAGGGTTCTTAGCACCTGGGGGCAAAGACACTTTTGGTGCCCCCACCTCTGAAATGTTTTGATTATTTGTTTTGTGACTCATTACCCACTTAATGACAATAACATAAAAATTAATTACCACCTTACACAGGCCTAAAATAAAGTCACAATATAACATCTCATAATATCACAACTGTAAACCTGGAACTAATGGAGTATAGCCTATTAAGTGTACTTACATAATTTGTAAATCATTTTGATATTTATGTCATCCAGTATTGTTCAAAGTCACATAGCTAGAGTAATCTTTCAAGCATGCAGAATAATTTCTGTTATATCCCTAGTTTTGAAACTTATGTTTCATATGAGAAGCCAGTCACTTGTGGTGTGCATGGATTATAAAACAGATTGATAAAATACAACTTAAGTTTATAAATAACATATTTTATTAGTTTACAAAACTGTACATATACTTAATTAAATCTTGCACAGGTAGCATTGTGGTATTTATGGTTTCATTATGTGAACCTTTCATTCTTTTTCTGCTGCAAATGCATCAATTAAACTATCA